GTTCATTCACGTCTGAAGTTACAGTAAATGATTCATCTTAATTTATATAAAACGAATCCGAAGCATCAGACTTCTATGCTTGCTTCTATGTACAACAAGAGTTCAAAGTACTCTCCACTGAAGCAGTGCGAGAAAAAAAATAATGTTTTTACAACGCTTTCTCTTTGTCCCTCTTTCTCTCTCTTTCCACAAACCTTTCACCCACGTTTCAACCAAACTCCAGCTTTGGCTCTGCTTCAATCACACTTGCTCACACTCTGGTCTCACTGTGTTTGTGTGTATCCCTGTAACAGTCTGTAAATATAATTACATTGAAATGACAAAAATCGCTTTGAATGCGTTTGTTCGGGTAAAAGATGTAAGTAAATCTCATAAACAGACATGTAGAATCATATGCCCTTTTACAACGCATTTCACACACACATGAAGTGGATAAAGGACGTTCACAAATGTACTCAATACCCAAGTATTCGAGCAAAAATACCAGCAATAAAACCAACATCGATGCCATTGCCATTGCAAAACAAGACGACACACCAAACGAAAAGAGAGAAAAAGAGATGGAGAGAGTGAGAAAAAAGCATATGCAGACATTTTGGGAGGAAACAATCCCTTTTTTTATTCAATATGTGTCTGAGCATGTATCCTATGTACTTGTGCGTACGCACGTGTGAACAATGCCGCATTTTGAACGAGAAATCATTTTGTCGAAATGCAGAACATGCTCTTCTTGTTAGCTTTTATTTTATTATATTGATATGATTGTGTGTGCGATTGAATCGAATCGCGTTCCAGCCAATATTAAAGAAGCCGCTTGATTTGGCACTTTCAAGTTGAGGGAAACAAATAACAAACATTATTATGATGAGAAAACCTTGAAGCGAAATAATCACATTGAAAATGGAAAAATCGAAGTGTGAGCAAGTTAAATTGAATCAACTGTTGCTGTCAGTAATGAACACCGACTACTATTGAAATTTGGATAAATATCGGCGAATCGGAAGATGCGTCAATTTATTTATAAACTGCTGTTTGCTGCGATTACTTCTCCGTTCCAATTATTAGTGATGATGAAATTACCACCAGTCCATTATGGGTGTGTGTGTGTGTGTGTGTGTGTGTGTTGGCATATCTACGAAAACTTCATTTTACCACTCGTTCATATTGAGTGAATTTTCCAATTATACTACACTAAAACCGATCTGGTCGTATTTGTAAAATTACGGCGACTGTAACCAAACGACCGACCGACCGACCGAAGAGAAAACTGTTGTATGCGCCGTTTGAAAAGTTGTTCCGTTTCAATTGGATAATAATAATATGGAATGCCAACGCCGTCCGACATTCGACTATACTTAATTCAATATCCGTTCGATTATGTCGGCGACCACTTGTATTGATTGAATTTGAAACGATTCAATTGGAAATTGGAATTTGGATTTGTTCTGCTTCTGGTTTGGAATGCAAAGAATTGAAGCGAGCAAAGCATTTTTAAAAAGGACAAGGAAAATACTTTACCTTGTAGAAATAATCATAACACTAACCTACGACAACAATACTCAACGTCGGCATGGCGCGTCATCGTCATCATCATCGTTTTCTAGCAAAATCGACGTCCCGACGCACTTCCGGAAATGTTATATACCATTTTTGCGCCTATATGTTACATTGAGCGGGCATTACATTTCACAAAAAGTCTCGTTGTAAACCGTGGCGTTTATGTAGCCAACATGGTGTTACTGCACTTCGCACACATACATACAATAGATACGTAGATCGGTGGGGATTGTGCAAATAATATCACATATCGTATATGTTTGCTTTGATTGCGGTTCCCAGTTCTTTTTCATACGCCAAAAAAACCCTGCACACTGGCCATTCGTCAAAAAGTTAACTAAAAATATAATTATTTATTCAATTGAAATTCGATATAAATAGAGCATAATTCGGATGAATGCACAACGAGAGAAAAGAGGCGAAAAAAAAACCACGCTCAATGTGTACATTGTAGTCAACGACAGCAACGGCGACAATGATGAATGTGAAGAACGAAAATGCCGAGCGAAAGAGAAAGGGAGACAAATTAAACGAAAAATTAAAAAGAGTTATAGACTCTAACCATGTGTGTATGTACGTTTACATCGCATATTTATAGATGATATTATAATGGATTTTGTGTGTTGCATGTCTTTGAAATGCAGCCATATGTGATATGTTGCGAACGAATCGTAAAATTCACAATTGTAATTGAAAATCAACACAGCAAACGACAAATTTTCACAGGCAACGTGTATAACGTTGACTGTTTAACCAAGGCGAAATGGTTAAATGAACGATAGAGAGAGAGAGAAAGAGAGAAAGATAGAACGAGAGCAATGAATGAGCGAGAAAACAATAGAGAGAAAGGGGTACAAAATGAATTTGTAATGCCTGTTTTATTGTATGACTTCATTAATTTAACAATGCTTTGCCGTTTTCTCGGTTTCCAAAATGACAAACGCGCGACCGAAAACACCAAGGTAATTCGCTCGCGCGCCGAACAATATGTACGTTGTTTTTTTTGTTCTTGCTTTATTTGCCCAACACTGAACATTTTCTGCCCGTTTTATATTATTTATCAAGGCATTTTTGCATGCTGCATATGCACCGGGGTATTTTTCACCTTTATTAACAATAAACCGTATGTTCAAAAAAAACCACATGATGTGACTCGCGATTTTTATCTATGACCAACCATTGACTTTCACATAATATGCCCCAAAAGCTTTTTTATATATAAATAATTCCTAATGCATTTGCGTGCATGACAATTGTTACATTTTACAACGAAAACATGTACACTTAAATTCACCAGCACAAGCCAATGTCGCTTATATTCAGACCACATTTTTGATTAAATAATAAAAAAAACACTCAAAACCACTTCAGTATTAAGTAAACAAAGTGATTCGATTTGTGGTGTTGAAGAAAAAATTACCAAATCCAGTTTATACCACTGAGATTGAAAATAAAACGCATTTCTCAAATGTATTACAATTTGCTGCACACGTGCATTACAGACTAATGTTAAACGTATGTTAACAAGACAAAAGAAAAAACGCCAATTCAAAAGAAAGCGAGACCCCAACAAATTCACAGACTGAAAAAAAGAAAAAATATGCACAAAATACAGCTCGTTTATGAAATGAGTATCTTCTGGGCACAACAGAAAAAAAGGTGACCAACAATTCGAGAAACATTGCGACTAATTGAATTTTAAGAGAAATAATTACATACGTTATCAGGTGTCAAATAAGAATAAAAATGAGTTTCGATAACAATTACAAATTGAGCATTGCAAAATTGATAGTGAAAGCCATCAAGCCTTGGTAAAAAGAAAGCAAAGTACATGTGACACCTTGGGGCGCAACACAATGAACAACAAAAAGAACAACGGAAAAAAACATTGGAGCGTACGCTCGCCCATCGACAACTATCGCAATTGTTGTCAACAAATGCAGCGACAACAACAACATCGTCAGCGGCAGCAGCTCCATGGTGTGCTCTTTTACTTCGATTGGCATCAGTTTAAAACGATCAGCACACAATATTTACACAGCATTTCCATATCTTTATTTCCATAACATTTAATTTTACTTTCATGACCGAAGCATTTACATATTTTTTTTATGAACGTCATTTTTTTTCTACATTTGTTCCTGTCCGCAATGCTTTAAAATCGTTCAATTCGTTTTTTTTTCATTCAATGTTGTCATTTTCTCGTCCACCTTTTCGTTGAAAAATTTAATCGACGGTGACAACATCACCGATCGAATCATTTTATTTTGTCATATTTGACTGTGCGCATCTGAGCATGTTTGCTCATTCAAAGTGTTTCGATGTGATACAATGTACGGATATTTAGTAAATATTGCTTACACACTATTATTAACTTTTAAATATGCGCATACATTTTTCACATTTTCGATAACAAAAAAAAATCGCGCATTTTTCTCTTTTGAATGATGACTCGCAAAATGTGCGTAGCACAGTGAATCTATTTAATGTCAAATTCACTTAAATTAATCGTTGAACGCGCAATTTTTTTTGACAGATGCATTAGTCTTAACGTAAAACTACAGCGACGAAAATAACTGGCATATTGAAATGCATTCAAATTTGAATGAGTTAAAAAAAATGGAAGAAATCTTTGATGGAGTGATAAAGCGAATGTATTTTTGACGAAATGATAAAGATGTTTCGAGGCTTTCTTCACGCCGTGAACATTGTATATTCCCTAAAGCGACAACCGAAACATGATCGAAAACCACCATGATTCAAATTATTTGATAAATTCATTAATCTACAACAAACATGCAAAATGAGTCGCGTTTTATACAAATGAGACAAATATGCAAATGATCGCTTAAAATAAATTAGATCATTTTTCATGTTATATAACGTGGCCAAGTTCTCATCATGACATTGAATCTTAATTTTAAAAAATAGAACTTGTGCGAAAGATAAAGAAAATCATGCAAATGGAAAATGGCATTCAAAATAAAATTAAGAAGGGGCGGATCGAGTTGTTAAATTAATATAACTAAAGCATGAAATCCTACTGAAATTTATATATTTATTCGATTTTTTCGGCACTTGCTCACACACATTTATTAATATGCCATCAATGGATGTCATGAATAAAACTACAATAGCATTGCAATCACTTGTTGTCGGAGGCCAGTTGTTGTTGAACAAAAAAAAAAAGAAAAGAAATCGAAGTGTTGTAGCGACATCACTCAATCATCGTTAAGAATTTTATTTGGCAGCAGGCTCTTTTTCATTTGCTTTCTCTTTGTGTAATGACAGTCTATTTTCGCCGTTGTTCACATCTAATAGCAGACATTCCACGTATTATATCTTTATTTTTGCGATAGCAATCAATGTTGTTTGTTCGTGATCCAATTTGCATTCTTATGTTTTAATTCGTAATTTTATTTTTTCTTCTTCTATTCTCGCAGGTTATCTGTTGACCCGTGTTGAAGGTAAAATTGGTTCGCCAGAGAAGCCATTGTCTGATCTCGGTTTGATATCATATCGCTCGTACTGGAAAGACGTTCTATTGGACTATCTATGCTCACGATCTGGTAGCACATTGAGCATAAAAGACGTTTCACAGGTATGTATGATCAATAAAAATTCAATCACAATCGATGACCACAACACTTACCACAACATATTTTAAAAACAAATCCATTTTGTATGAACGACCATTTATCGGCTCGTCTCTCATTTCATTATACATTTTATTCACCATTTCTCAATTACATGCACGTTTTAATTACAATTTGAAACGAAAGCAAAACCATGTTCATGTCAATTGTATATGGCCTACGTAAAAAAAAAATGTCGCTCTCTATGTGTGAGGGAGAGAAGAAGAGAAAAAAAATTAATTCCAGCGATAAAAATCATTTGTTTAATTTAATAAAGCTTTGTTGTTATTGAGCTGGAATGAGAATGTGCTTAAAGGACAGTGCACCAGTATCATTTTCAGATGAAATATTATTATCGAAAGAAATTATTTCCCAAAAAAGACAGAGACAAACACGAGCCGAACAACATAAATTTGAATTACCACGTATCGTTCGTCATTACGTTCCTTGTGGCTATAATATTTCAAATATTGCAATTACTCGGCCCCTTTCTTCGTTCATTTATTTTTCAAGAAAGGACTGAATTTTTGCCATATTTCTTCTCGATTTTTTTTATTTTTCGCTAATTCGTCCCCATGGTCGCTGAAAAAGGAGACTCACAAACAAGTCATATTTTCATTCGATACTGATTACAATGGAATAATTAATGCATGTATATCAAGTGCGTAATGATTAAACTGTCTTCGATTCGCTTGAACAAGTGGTAGATGTGTCTGAACGGTTGCGTTGGTCGGTGCGCGCACTTTTTTTTTTTACTTTTTTCATTATCATTTATTCTTGGTGCTGGTCTTAAAGGTGAGCGTACGCGCGGCGGATATGTGTTTTGTATAAATTGATATTTTGATGAGCGTATGCTGCATCTAATTGAAAAAAAAATTGTTTTAAAAGACGACGTTGGTAATCATAATGCATGCACAAATATGTGATCGTATACGCTGTATGTGTGTTCTCTGTCTCTGTCTTTTTCGTCTTTCTGTTGCATATAAATAGCGGTAGGCTGGCCGCCGTATTGAATTTATTGGATCTTGTCATGTGAAAATCAAATAAAGATGAAAATTGCGAAAAAATAATTGAGAAATTTTTAGAAAGAATCGCTCATTCCATCCGATGTACATGTATAGGCGTAATGCGTGTGCGCGCACACATAATTTTGCTATTTCTCCCACTCTACAATTACGATACTCCCCTTCGAAGTCCATTTAACGCAAGCACATATCATATACGTTGAATAAAAAGTGGTTCATCGCTTTTGCGTACGCTATAAAATGCAAATTGAAACTAGACCGCAATTTGGTGAATTTATTAAAACGAATACATATGTGAACAACAAATCGAATCAGAATCAGAACATAATCAACGTTGTCGACGATATCGGGGATCATTGTAATCATTTTCTTCCCTATTTGCAATCATTCAATTTACAATAACTGACAACGCGCTGTCTCGGTCGTCGTCATCATCATTTTTATTGGCTTTGGCTATAATTTTCCCTGACTAAACTAGTTTATAATTGAATAAATTATCAATACGGTTTGTTTTCATCCACTTTTAAGTAATTATGTACAAAAACTGTAATTATGCTGCGATAATAATCTTTTCACTGGTAGGATAGGCAAGTGGTAAAAAGACACAACCGAATCACAAGCACATACACGACACGACACACACACAAATACACCGAATATAAGCTCAATGAAAAACTGAACAGATATATAAAACAAGGAACATCAAATGGAAGACCTCATCTCACTAATGCGATAAAAATTGTTAAATCGTTGAGAACTCATTACGGATTCCGTTTGTGATCATTATCAAAAGCTTATTGTATTTTGTTTCCTCTTCGGATTTTCGATTTGTTTTCTCTCGTTCTCTTTCGTTCTCTCTCGTTGTTGGTTTTTTTGCGTTCATCTTTCCGTTTTCATAATTTTCAATTAACGTCAGTTTCGCTCACATATTTCACTTTTTGCGTACACACAATTCTATTCCATATTCGTTTCGGAGATGACGTTTCGAATGTATGCGAATTACGATCTCGCTTTAAAATTTTAATCATTTCTTTGTTCTTTTAACGCAATCATGTCATCGTAATCGTTTCATAATTCTTGACACATAGTTGCAGGTGTCCGTTTGGAATTCCTTCATTTACTCTTTTTTTGCTGCTGCTGCTGCGCTCTGCAAAAAAGGAAGAGATAAAGAGAAAAATCCTATGTGTGTTCACTGAACATGGACACAAAACGCAGCGAACGGAATTAATCTACACCGCATTTCATTGTTTTATTGTAACTAGAGAGAGAGAGAGAGAAAGAGAAAACGCAATAATAATTGTAGTAAATAATACAAGAAATACTACCTGATCGCATCAAGTAGCACCCAACTCCATTGGAGTTCCATCGTTTTTGTTGATAAATGGCATTTTAGTTTTTTTTATTTTAATTTTAATTTTATCAAAATGAAATACAACCCTTGCACCCATAAAATCGGACCATAAAACATAAAATAACTCATAAAAACTGAAGAGTTTTGTTAGTTTAATTGAATGAAATGATGAAATGACACTTATTTTAATTTAAACGTGAACATTTTTAAAAGAATTCAAATGTTTGTGCTAATAAATCTTATTCTCTTCTCTCTTTCTGTTTTTTTTTAATTCTAGGAAATGGCTATAAATTCGTACGATATCGTGAGCACACTACAAGCATTGGGCATGATGAAATACTGGAAAGGCAAACATATTATACTAAAGAAGCAGGTGCGTATATAATTCATTCGGTTGATTGCATTGAACGGCAGTAATAGCAGCAGCAGTCGATACAGTATTTGGTAGTGTTTCCTTAACGATAACCAAAGCAATGAAGAAGAAACCAACCGATCACTATGAGCACAGCAAGCTGAGAGCGAACAGATTGTATTGCATTGGCACGTGCCACAAGTCGCGCATTCAAATATATGCAATCCCATCACCACCACCATCGTCGTCGTCGTCGTCAACCTAATCAAATTTCCTCTATCACTTTAATGACATTATACAAAAAAAAAAAAGAAATTGAAAACAAGTACAAACTGTGGAAACACCGACCGTTTGTTGCTTTTTCTCATGTTTGTCCCTTCGTCAGTTTTGGTCAACGTGTTTTTTTCTCTCACTTTCGTGATCCTAAGCCAACCAAATTGGTGAATGTTTAAATGCAATATATTTTCGAATTGATTCGCTCGTTTTTACAATCTTATCAAATGCACATGTATACTGTGCTCGCACCGAATCCTTTCAAACGACATTTGCATCGTCGGTTGCATGCTTACAAAATATATCCGCTTTAAATGCACTTGATTGTTTGGAATTGGATTCATTCTCAACATACAGAAAGCGGTGGCTCAGGCGCCGAAACGACCTTTTTTTAAATTATAAAGTACAACAACCTAATAACAATATCGTATTTATATAAAATATGCAAAGTATTAAATTCAATGTGAAATGAGAACCTTTTTAGAATGGAATATAAATATTCAGAACATCAAAATATATACGAAAATACGACCGAATTTTTATTTCAAATTAAATCATGGACGGATTATGTTCCCGAGCTGCGAGTCGAACGTTTAAGCGTTTTTCGAATTGTTTCGTTCGTTCGTTTTGCTTTTGAAATGGGAATGGATTGGAAGATAGTGTGCACGAAACGTGTGCATTTTGCACGAAGAAAAGAGGTGATATAATTTTTATTGTCAGTGAAAATGGAATGGATGGCCAGCATAGAGGAAACAATGATCAATTACACATCATTTAAATTTACGCTTTACGATGGTCTAAATGACAGGGCCACCATTTCACTGGTGGTGTCAGTGCATTGAAAACCGCATTTCCATATGTAATTTGTGCATTTTCTTCTCGGTTTTTTTTTCTTCGTCAAAAAGTATTATGAAATTCTGGCGATAATTTTTTTACGTGTTTATTCATACACAAACACACACATTTATATATTTCGATTCTTATCACATTCTATACATATATTTGCATCATTTCTGAAATATATAAAACATTTTCGAGTTTAATGCTGTGGTGCTTTGCGTTTTTTTCGGTCTCTTAAACGCATTTTCGTTTCTTTGCACAATATTCACATCGTCAACCATTTATATATATATTACTTGTACGCTTTCAATCCAATATTTACGAAGTTACACTGCACGGCATGGAACACACAAAAAAACGAGTGCTTAATTTGCGTTCGATTCGCAATTTCATAAATACCCTTCACGTACGCGATGGTTTCGCATTTTTCGTCTTATTCTCCATTCTGTCTTTGTCTTTTTCACTTAAATTGAATGCAGCAGCGCACAAGGGAAATATATTCAAGTTAAAAACTCGGCCAAACATAATTAACGCTATTAGCGTCCATCATCCAAACAATATATTATACTATTATGGACATGCGATTATAGTAAACGAATTAAAGTGTTTTGTTTCGACATTTTCATTTTTTCATATTATAATTTGTTATTGTTCTTGTCAATATACATATTATTTTTTTGCTTAAATTACTCACGGTAATTAAGAGTAATAAACACGACAAGTAATCTTTCACAAATAGGTAATTTTCTTTGTGAAAAAAAATAATAGAGTTGACTAATTTCCTAGGACATGTTTTTTTATATTGGCAGATTTTGATCATTCAAATTAACTCAAAATTAGATGATATAAATGTTTGCCGCTGGTTATTGGATGGGTGTCGATACGCCGTTGGCTTCGAACACCCAATGATTGCTGTCAAACTCATCAAATTGAAGATTTTTTTTTTTTTTTAATAATATTCTAAATGGATATTTTATTTATTATAAACCCATTGGATATATTTGGACACGTGCTATTTTCATCATGCGATGTTTTTTTCTTCGAGTTTCACTCGATTTTATGATCAATTTTATTTTATTCACATATTGCATTTGAGTTGTATATTGGAAGCGCAACTTAAATTACTTTATTTTCAGAAGCTGACTTTCTGTCGCTTCAATTGTCACGTTTCGTCTGCATTGTGGCACGAATGACATTCCATACATTTTCATGTTCGAAGATGAAAAATAAATGACAAACAACACCAAAAAAACTTCACATGGTCACAATATAGTCCGCGTCAAAAGCGATAACGATTGGTGTAATCGAAATGATAAGTGTAATTCGCAAGTGTTCAACAAAGCCGCGCTTCACGTCAGGTTCAATGTCATGCCACCATCGCTGCCGTTGCCGTTGCTGCTACATTTCAAATTTGAACAACACAACAGAAAAAATGGTCAGAAGTGATTTCCATTTATACATGCCATCATGCCGATCTTTTTCGGCGTAAAAAGCCGTCACCATATTAAGATAAGCGTAAACACACGGTGGAAAAAAAAGAACGAAGAGTTTGCGCCGACAGACGAACAAGCCGATAAAATGCTTTCGGAACTTTCGTTTGATTGAGAGTTTAAAAATGGAAATGACTGCGAACACATTTTCAATGCGTAATTATAAAGAATTGCAATTTCTGAGTATGTTGAACTATTCCGGCTCATCAGAATGGTTTTAAAAAAAAGAAGAGAAACTTGACTTTTTTTGGTGATTGCATGCCATTTCCGAAATGAGCGTATTGAATGGATGTAAAATAATTTAATTAAGATAAGGAGTAAGTTGTTGAAGTAGTTCTTTTTTTTCCGCTCTCGTTCAGAGCTAATCTTTGTTGAAGGCACGTCAGTTTTACTTGACGTGTGTCTCGCTTTATATTCGAATTATTTTTTTTCTCTTGCGTTCAGTCCTTAACTGCATGAATTCAACAGATGGTTTATATTGTTATGTATTCTTAACCATCATCATGCCCCAGCACTCGTTTAATGTCATGACGAGTGATTGTATAAAGTGTGTCTTCTTTAGCCAAAAGATTAAGAAGGCTCATCATGATAAAAAAAACGGCATGAATCGGTTGGTGTTATTTGGACAAGAAGCCGACGCTGTTTCCACATTTTTTTTTGTCTTTTTTTCCAAACGAAAAAAACCGCCAGAAGATTACACCGTAAATACTGAACCGTCGAATATAATTGAACACGAAAAGTACCGCCATTAACTGTAATTCAAATGTGGGAAATCGCATCGCCATTTAGATGCACTTTTTTTTCTCTCCACCTTTGACGAAAGGAAACTGACGGACAAAGTTTTACACTCTTTAGTTTTACTGATTGTTTAATTAGTTGTTGACGCTGTACAACCATAAGCGTGATTAAAATGCAACAAATTCATGAACATATTCTACACCATCATTTACATCGTTGTAAACCAAGTGTACGAACCATCGTTGCAAACCTTGTTGCAAGCAGAATCCTGTCGCAAACAAAGCTGCCGTTTGTGTTGGCAGCTTGGAGAGAAAACGAATCGAAGACGATGACGGTGACGAAATGTGCAATTTCTTAGAAAAATTCTGAAAATATGTTGTTGCAAAAGTTTTTAGTCGTTCAACGTTCCAGAACACTTAAAGCAATTCATGCTCGTATTGATGCATACCTGTCCAATTCCATGAAACGAGCATCAAAAATCATGTTTTACCTCACAATTTCCTCTCGTGAAAAAAAAACAAATTATGCCAAAGCGGTGGCCATTTCTTTACCTTTTGATCGTCGACTAAAATGATTCATGCATCATTCATCTGCATTGCAGTTACAAATTATGCAAAATTTTAAGTGAATTAAATTAATTATACATAGTATGCTAAAGCAAATAATAATATGATTACATTTTTTTAAATGAAATATTCTTTGAGTTTTTGTCTTGAATTTAAATTCCAATTTTCCTTATTAAAATCTCATTTGAGAGTAACATGCATATGAATGTATTATCAGTCATATTATGCAGACGACTTACATGATAAACGCACTTTTGAACATGTTTCATAATAGATTTTTAATCGACCAATTCAGACATTTTATACGATACATAATTCTAATGAACGACTGTGTTGTTATATATGACGACTGCCGGAACATCTACCGAAAATACTTTTTCTTGTCTCCTGAAGTGTCTTCATCTTATCTAAATTTAAAAGAAAATGTCGGTTAAAAATTCAAGTAATAGGTCCGTAGGTTGCTGCTGAACAAATCTTTGTTGATTGAAAATGTTCAGCGTCAAACAAACGTTTTCACCACATTATTAAATTATGATACTATATTCAGTAGGCAGTGCAATTGAGTTGAATGTTCAACAAATGGATGAAGAGAGAAAGAGAGTAAAAAAGAAAATCATATAATTATGTGGCGATGGCAAAATTCTGTGAATTATTATTCAATTTTTCTACCTGCATTTTCTGCAAAACGCAATAATAATTCGTTGTAATAGCGCGTGGGAGGCGCATGTAAAAGTCGAAGTACACGATTCAATGACCAATGGATTTGGTGTGAGTATTTCGCCATACGTATAAAGTAGAGACAGCATGCACACCAGCATGTACAAATGTAAAAATAAAAACAAAAGAGACGAAAACAACACAGCGAGAAAAAAAAGAGTATCAAATATACATGTAAAATTGAGTATGCTAAGAGTATTTGTCTGCATTTTTATGAAAAAAAAAAAATAAGCAACCACGTATATTTTTTTCGATGCGCATTTATATTCCGATTAGCGGGAACAAGCGGTGCGCTCAATGGGAGCCATTGGGTGAAATTATCAGCTAGAAAATAAGTACACCTCTCATTGGATTAATACTGAATTATGAATAATTCCACCGGATTATAATAAATAAGTTCTCTTTTTAAATTATTTCAGAGATAATAATTATCATTTTCGAATATTATGGCGAAAAATGGAACAAAAAAAATTGTTGCGTCTGGAATTGATTGATACAGCGTCTGAATTAATTGATAATCTTATCGGGTGCGATAAAGAGCAGAGTTGGAAATAGAATCAAAAGTGTCCACACAAATGAAATTGATTTTTTTTTTCACTGAAAATACTTGATTAATTCAATGATGTTGATGTTCGACTGCTGCTAATTTTAATTTTTGTCTGAAATAACATGTTTTATCAATTTCTGTTTTTTTTTTTGCCTTTGTTCACAGGATGTACTTGAAGAATATGCGGAACGTGTGAAACGTCGCGGTGCTGTTGTAAAAATTGATCCGGCTCATTTGCGATGGACACCGTTTGTGCCGCCAGCACCGGCAACATCGTCTTAGCGCCAGGTGAACTATTCGATACCACCATTTACACAAATGATGCTCTCATCGGCCATACATCAAAATATAAACAACAATTACATCAGTTTCTCCGAAAATTTCCATAGCCACTATCAGCAACAGCAATAATATTATCATCAACATCATCATCGTTGCAGTCATTCACGCTAAGACAATGAACAATGCCCGCGACCACAGAGGCGAAAATCGAACGAACATCGACACTGTATCTATCTTCTTAAAGTACTTTATCTTTTTTTTAATTTATTGACGATTTTATTTCTGTTTTATGTCTTTGTAAAACTGTTTTTTTTTTCGTTTCGCATTCAACTCGAGCAGAATGAAAATGTTGTTTGAAAAATATGTCTCGTTCTGGTTTACCGTCGTTGTCGATATAAATTGTTTAAATGTAGTATGAGTGTGTGTGTGTGTGGTTTTTTTTGTAAAACTTTATTTAAGCTTGTATATTTTTTTTATTTGTATTCTTCTCGTAATCGTCGATTTAATGGAATATTTATAGACCCATTCATCAACCAATTGTACTAGAAATATGAGAATTTTTTAAAATAATGACAAATGAAACACGATTGATTTTAATAAAACGAAATGCATTTTTCGCTTTCATATATACGTATTTTGGATGACAATTTGAATCCAAACATTGTACTGCAATTATTTTTAGGCAGATGAAATTACTCATTTTTAAATTTCGAATTATGGATGGTAAGAAGATTATCACCATATTTTTTACAATAAATTGGAACATGGTTGTTATGATGGAGCCGACAAAGCTCGTCCACCAATTGTGAGAGAATGAGAAGCAGAAGAGTTCGATTTCTCTTCTTTGTAAAATGATTCACGCATATAATGTGAGAGAAGGGTGATGAGCTAAACTCCACGGTGTTTCACTTTCAAATCCAAATATCTGCTGCACTTGAGATGATTTCCGTTTGAAAATATCTCAGTACATTGTTTGCATTCAAAAAAAAAAAAGACATAGTGAAAATTATTGCATAATTTAGAGAAAGAAAAAAATTGTGGAAAAACTGTTTTATAGTGCATATTCTGAAATAATCTCTAAATCATATTGCATCGTTTAACTTAGAAACTTCATTATCTATCGAATCGTAATAATAAGGATAATTCTCGAATAAAACTTCAATACACAAAACAAATATGAATCAATTGATAAGATTGAGTGACGGAGATAGTAACTTTTTTTTTTAGTTTTCAGACTTAATTTTTAGTGAAAAAGTATATAACTCTAATTACTCGTGCATATATTAAGATATTATTTTTTTTTCTCTTGATCTTCTAATGTTGCAATTAATCAGTCAAAATCTGAAATAAAATAGATTAAATTATAAGATATGCATTTAATTAATGAAAAATACACATCAAAACTCAATATTTCGTCAAATAATAAATGAAGAAAAAAAATGGATATTCAAATCGAAATTGTTGTTTGTTATCACAAAATATCACCGTATGTTACACGTACAGCTCTTTTTATTTGGCACAATTTCAAAGGTAAGACAACCGAAATAAACATCAAAACGTTCCGCTTGTAGTCACTGATCTTCAAATTCAGATCATGATTCAAAGTATACAGGTCCTTATCTTTCGAAACGGAAGAAGAAGATAAACGGAAGCAATGCAAAAACTTTTGAATAAAACACAAAAACAACAATGAATTCGTCCACGGTAAAAAAAAACATGTAAAAAAGATGTTTCAAAACTGCACTCAGAGCTCTGCACACAGAGAGAGCCCTGTCAATTGGTAGTATCGTCAATCAAAGAAAACAGCAGAGAGAAGAAAAAAGCCCCGGCACGAACACGCGTGAACAAACACATAGCTATAAAATGCATCAGTTTGTATGTGCTGTAAAATCGGCAAGCCTCACAATTTATTAGCCAGAAAGGAATTTTAACAACGGTATGTTTATTATTGAAACCATTGACCAATAATGACATGTACCGTAAACGCTGTGAAAATGATTGTTATTTAACATTGTAAAACGTACATATAAATGAAATCGACGCAAAAACATTTTCGCAAATTAGCAACATATGAAAGAGATAGACAATCATATCACAATTGGTGAACACACATATGTAAACTCTTCAGAATCATTCATTCCATCTGTTTAAGTGGTTAGCAAATTAATATACGGATCGGTCAGTGTTTTTGGATTTTTTTCTCAATAAGAAAGTACTTAATGACAAAACTTTACGCGGTCGTGTGACCAATTCAATCAAACCGATGCCTATCGATGTTTATTATAATTTGAAAAAACAGCGAGAAACTAAACGGTTGTTCTGCGCTAATGAGTGTCTAAAAATGAAACAATGTGCATGATGCGTGAAAAGTAAAAAAATACGAATGTATTGAAAAACGGTTTCTTCAAATATATTTGTAGTTCGAAATGGCCGAGAACAAACGATTCAGAATAATAACCAACAACATTTCTGACATTTGTCGGTTCATCGAAATATCCGTTAAATAAAACAATTAAAATACTTGCAAATTCCCCAGAATTGTATGGTGTAATTTACGAGTTTTGCCGTCGAGTTAATTTGAAACATTTTTTCAGAGATTTTTGTCACTGATTTCTTCATTTCATAATATGCCGTCAATTCAACTTTAATCGAACTCCTTGTTGCCGATCTGAATTTCGTGCGAAAAAATGTGCTTAACGAAAATTATGTGTACAGGAAATAACACAGCATATATATTTTTTTATTGTCGATCATAATCAGGGTCTTCGTCATGTGTGCTTGAAGAACTGAATGGAATTTTAATGGTTACTTTTGGCAAGAGCATGTGCGAACCAGTATAGCTCTGATTGGCCATCGGTTTGATTTGAAAACGATCATCTCCCTACAAATGTGCATTGGTATTTCCGTTTCGATCGAATTTTACGAGAATAGCTCGTGTATATCCAGTCTATGCTGCCCATGTGTGTGTGTGTGTGTATGTTTTTTTTTAAATAGATTTAGTTCCAAGTATTTCGGATTATTTGGATGAATATCATATTCGTAGAAATTTCAACCACTCATCAGCACCGAACATAAGAAAAAATCATGAAAATACATGCGTCGACGGAATGAGCCTGTTCATTTTTCCTTCGTTCATTTGCTCCGTCTTTCTTTAGAGTGTGCCATTTCTACGTTATTGTTCAATTTTTTTTGATGTTGAAAAAGAAGCAAAACATTTTTTTGTTGCTGTTAAAAAGCATTTCACGTGAAATTTAGCAGGAAAAGAAGGCTGTAAAAGATGAGCAGATTTTTTCCACGTATATTGAAATATGTACAATAGCGCGTACGTCATATGTCAAGCGCAACGTACGCAAATACAAAAAAAGAGAGTAAACAAACATATCATTTTATCCCGTGAGGGCATTCTATGACAGCATAACAATGTCGGTGTGTTTTGTTTGCAATTCGTTCAAAATCAAATTTGCCACCGCTGAATCCAATATGCAAACGTTGAGTCCACATAATTAACCAATTAACATATTGATCCAACAACTGACAAAAAAAAACACCGAAGACATTTAGCATGCATGCAATCGATGCACACAACAATGAATACATCCAGGTCGCATACACACAACATTTCTGCAACATTGTACATCATGACAACTTAATATTTCCCTGGGCTATTTAATTAACACTTTTATTCATTTGCTTGCCTTTTTTACGTTGTGCTGCTGATGATGATGGACGGAAACATCTTGAAATACAGATCCTTAATTCAATATGCTCGATGCCTTTTCATTTATCATCTTTTTGTTGTTGTTGTTGCCTGAAACAGTGTCAATATTTGCATAAGAATGATGACGATGAATACAAAAATTTAAAAAAATGGTTTTACGATTTCTTTTGTTGATAAACCGAACGTAATCGATATCTTCAGCGTGCAACGGATTTCACTATGAGGTGATGAAAACCAATTTTGAGAAAGGCGTCAAAAAATTATTATTATACAAATGAACCAATTTTGAAACACAAAATACGGGCAATGCTACCATTTTGACAGTTCTCGTCTTTTTAACCACAACAAAAATCATTCAGTCGTTTGCAACATCAGCACTGCATTCACACCGAATATACTTGACGGCGTCGGTAGCAGAACAAGTTAAATCAAAGTCTAAAGTAGTGTTTGTTTTCCATCGGTCAGCAGTTCAAGTCTTAGGTGAATGAAATGATATTTTTTTGCATTATTCTTCTCTCACCAGATGCGTCGCTCAACATACTTCATCGACCCTTTGGTTTTTCTTCTTTATAAGTATACGTTTTTTTATCACTCAATTGATAAATGACAGTCCGTATGTTCTAACCATTTATATCTGTTTTTATGTTAATCATTTCTGAATTAAATAATGTTCGTGTTGTCTGAAAATGAACACCAACTGTAGTGTAAAGATAAGCAGCAACATTGTAATGAATTCATTTATTATTTCAACTGATAAGTGCAACACATTTTTATTGTCCAGATATAGTATTAAAGAAAAAAAATATCTTTTAACAAGTTGTTATCTCATTAAAACCATCTAAATGTTTGTTCTACAACCGAGTTTATATTGTTTAAAACGACTTGTTAATTTCGCAAAGTTTTTTTTTTCATTTGTTTGCTGTTTCAGCGAGCCACACATCGGATGTACAGTCGCCGCCCGGATAGCGAATTTCATGTGGCAATGCCGGACCATTTGGTTCACTGCCAAAATCGATAAAGAAATCGGGATTCAATGTAAGTCCACCGGTTTTGTTATTTACATCAATCATCACCACATGGCCACCTTTCTCAATCATTTCCGGATAGAACTAAAAAATGCCATTTGAATAAGTACGATTGAAATCGAATTACATTCTCTTCAATTCACCTGTCGATCCCATGGCGAGTATAAACTTGATGATGCATAAAGTCGTTTGCCGTCTAACGAAAGCTGAAGCATCTGGGGTGCACCTATTTACAATTGACGTACAAAATCAATAAATGAAATCAATTTTTGTTTATCATGTATTTGCACCTTCCAATCGGCGTCCGTTCATAAACACCGGCTTCAGTGCCGAATCTTTATCATCGTCCACATTGCTAACGTTTTTAAGATTTGCAACACCGCCCAAAAACAATTGACCTTTCAATATTGGCTTTTTGGGATCGCTTATATCGTACTGTCTCACATCACCGTGCAGCCAATTGTTCAAATACAACCATTTGTCATCCAATGAAATTAAAATGTCGGACATCTGTTTAAGTGGTTAGTAAATTAATTGGTCAGTGTTTGTGGATTTTTCAAAAATGTACTAAATGACAAAATTTACCATTCCTCCCCGTTTCACTTCGACATTGTTCTCCAAAACCGTCATGTTTGGTATGTCAACGACTTTTTCGCATACAAATTTTTCATCGTTCTCATTTGGCCGATAGAAGCAATACAAATTGCTATTTAATGCGCAACCAACGAAACCGATGCATTTGAGTGGATCGTGTAGAAATCGCACTTCCAACGGTGTTATGCCGTCTTCACCCAAGTTAATCGTTTGAAATAGCTTGTGATCAGACAGACGATAAAAATGCAAACTTCTGCCATACTCCTTTGGATTCTCGATATCGCTCATCTTGAAACCTCTTTTGAATAATTTCGGTGCACCTATTTTGTGAAAGATGAGGAATTTGTACAGTTTTTTCAAAAAAAAAAAAAAAAAAATGAAATTATCGTACCCCATTCGGATGCAACAAGTACATCAAAGTGTGGCTGATACCAAAAATCGTAGCCACAATCGGGTCGAACGTCTCCACGTGTCCATGTGCCTAAACAATTGAACTCACTGTCAAATTGAATGAATTCACCTTTTGCATTGTCATTGCGATCGCCCATCGTTGAAATCAAAACCGTTCCATCATACATACAATGCGTCGTATGCGGAGCACTAACATTATGCTCATCCAATACGGAGCCGTCAATTTCGCGATACAAAACTGGTTTTCGCTCATCGCTGCTCAAATCAAATACGTAAATGCGATTGGAATTAAGCGACGGGCAAACTAATTTGTCACGCTTTGGAATTGATACATCTTCAGATTTTAGCTCAAAACAGCTTGAACAGGTATTCCAACCAGAGTGATGAAGTTCGTTTCCTTTGACTTTTGTATAAGTACGATGAATCACTTGACTGTAAGTTTTACTCGTTGGATCAACATCAACGGTAGCCAGGTAATCGCCATCCGGTTGATCTAAATTCGGTTGAACAACCACTACGTACAGCAATTTCTCACGCGGCCCATTCTTCATGGCATCCAATGGTGTTGCATAGCCAGGACCGTGACGACAACCTGACAAATTAGAACATTTTTTTATGTAAGAAGTTAATGATAATCATAGTTGAATTATCAAACAAGAAAAATCTAATAAACTGCGTCGCTTTTGTTTTGACATTTATCATTTTGAGCAATTGATACAAGCACAAATGATGCAACAAGTGAGATCAATAATGACCTCGAATTCTTTTATGATTAACGAAATATAAATAAAATACGATTGAATTGTAATAGAGCCAAATTCTCTCATTAGAAAACAAATAGTAATCCGAAATAATGAATAGTTAAAACTTACATTGAAACACGTGAATTTATATGAATGACTAGTAAAATTACAAAATTGTTTCGCATACAGATTGTACTATTCACATCTTTGGAATTCAAATGTTGAATTCAATTTTTCAATGAACGAAATTACTCTTAATTCTATTAAAAAAATTATTTCGAAAAAAAACTCAGCAGAAAAAATTGATAATCATTCGATAATTGCAGCGTATTTTGATTGCTGTCTTACAATGTATCTATACTTATTCAGAAAGTATGTAGTGTGTCACTAAATAGCCGAGATACAATGCTTGACAAGACCAGACCATAAGAATTTTGATTCATCGAGAAGATTTTCTACAGAATTTTCTGAATGCCGAAACTTTTATTGATTTTTTCCCAGGAATTATTTAAAGAAGATTTCCTCAATATTTCGAGAAAACCTTCGTTCGAAAAAAGAGATGGAAATGTTCTGTTATTCGCATTTTCGACCGGACATAGCTGATAGCTTGCAAAAAAGTCAACATTTCAATAAATTTTTTAAGATTAAAGTAGAAAGATTCCAAATAAAAAATAATAATATCTATATGTGCCAGTGATAATAAACTTACAAGAGCGAGCGTCTTTTTTATCCATATTTATACAAAATATTAGCGTCGGGAGTCTGAGCTAAAATAACACTTTAAAAAAAAAACAGTTGGTTTTTCGCTGAAAAAAAAGTGATTTTTTCGCAGAAAGAAATAAAATTCCGGTTGAATGTGAGTTTGTTGAATGTCAATTGACAACTAAAAGAATGATTTGTGTGCGGCGAAAATAAACATGTTTATATACTGTTGTTTTTAGAATGATCAATGGCTACCTTATCAGTACAAAAACGAATCACCATCCGTTGAAACTGATATACACACAAACTGTGTCCATATACAATACAGAAACTTGATTTGAATATCAAATACGTGTGCACAGTGCACACCGCAAGTGGTTTGTATGTATGGAAAACAAGGGGGTAGACACGAATTATAAAACTTTGAATCATGTGAATCACAGTGAATCAAATGAATCATTCAAATGTCAAATAAGCATCACTTTTGGTTTTACTAACATGATCGTTCAACAAATTCTAAATATTATTGTTGATTTTATTTGGAATTTACTAGAAAAACACGAAATAGATAAAAAAAAATGAGTTAATACATTTAAAAAAACGTCAAGAAATCATTTTTTCGAAGACAAATAATTTTAATTTATCAATAAATATTTCTTTCATGACACATAAGTGACATTTCAAATGTCATCTAAACAATGTGAATCTGTTGAATCACAGTGAATCAAATGAATCATGTCTACCCCCTAGATGGAAAATAATAATAAAGTAGTACCATTTTAATCAACTTTTATATGGTTGATATGTTGTTGAAATTTTTTCAAAGTCATTCTGACTGTTAATTTGTTTATCTTGTGTTAAACTGGTTTCTGGGTGAAAGCAAATCTGGACAGCATGCCAAGCCAAGGTTCATCGGAAACATATTTTTTGAATCTCTTCATGTTCTTATCATAGTATCGATATAATAATTTGTTTTTTTTTTTTCATTTCAAGTAAATATAAAGGGCGTTGCCAGTCCTAATCATCATTAGCTGGCATAATTAAATGTTTGCAATATATATACAATGTGATGAAAGCGCAAAGGCTAGTTGATGTTTATATGCTGTCTTAATCCAAAATAAACGATGATTGCTCGGCAAGTTTATTTATCAATTTTATTTTTAACGAAGAAAATCAAATTAAATATTTACATTTTATGATACAGGTCAAATTCAAGATACCCTATTATCACACGTCGGTGGTTCATAGGGCAGTAATGGACGAAGTCGTATAAAAAAAATTATCATAAATATTGTTAGAGTCTTGAGTGCTTAAAAAAAGTCAAGCCAATTTGATTAGCCAAATAATAAATGTTTCTTTTTTGTTGCTTTTAATTAATGCGCGTGGGACATATAAGAGTGTAACTGTGTTGCTTGCAAAAGAGAAGAGATCATTCACATCAGTTCTATTTTTGTAAAAAAGCGGTTTATTCCGATTCGCATTATCTCATCCAAAGCAGCAGAAAACAGTTTCCAATGGATCGAGTCATCAGTGGTATTTTTATAGATCTTCCCTCAAATTCCTCTCTATATTTCGTATTTTAAAAAAAGAAAAAAAGCATACATAGACCAAACAATGGGCGCAAAAAATGCACATACACATACACTGCTGAATGAAAACATAAAAATCATCTTAACGCTTTTTTTCTATTTCTTTCTGTAATTTTTTTAATCATTATGGTGTATAGTAGAAAAGTATGTGTTTCTAGCAGACCAGAACTGACGCCAGTTTTATGGTTAGAGAGGAAGATGACTAATTTTTTTTCTTTGCCTCGTCGACGCTCTTGCTTACAATTCATTGGCTGGTACACATTTGCACAAATGACCGATGAGAATAAAACATATTCGTGTTTCAATGCACCACATGCCATTCAATTGAAAACTTAAATGTATGTTTGTGCGGTTTGATCGTTGACCATTGTTTCAACTCAGTCAGTCACATATTATGAAATTTTTGCAATTTTGCTCTCGGAACTCATTTGACCTTCTTACTTTTGGGATGTGTAGACATGTGAAAGTCGAAACTTGGGACTAGGTTTGGGACGCTTGTTTGAATTATAGTACCAAAAATGTACTTAATTATACCGCATTTTATATTTCTTTGTACCTTACTCGTTTGGATAATATTTGAGGTTCAAATTGCCGGTCAACTAGCCAAAATAAAACTCAAAAATATTTTTTAAATTTTTATGGCTGATAATAATTGCACCTGAAATGTACCTTCAAAATAACATCATCATTAAGTCATTACTTCGATGGTGTTGCTCTGCAGAGCATGTCCATCAAAATTCTCGGGGGGTTTCCAGGAAAAATGACAAAAATGAAAATCAACTTAACTGTACTTCAATTTATTTTAAAGTGTACCATACTCGTTTGGATAATATTTGGAGCTCACATTTCGGGCCAACTCAATATTGTTATAGAATGACGAAAATAGATATAAATAGAATATATAAGATACAATGACTGTTTACACATCACCATACAAATCTATATATAGTTTCTTACCTTTGTCGACTGGAATTGTTTGATTCACACAAGAAAACGCGAAACTGTAAGCTTTTCCATTTTGGCAACATGTTGATGATGCAAGTGACGCATTTTTTTATGTGAACACACACTTGATAAGATCAAAACACATACACACGTGTTCATTAACATATATTCAATTAATTTGTAGAAAAAATATAATCGGATTCTTTTGGAAGTTATTACCTTTTTGCGGCCAACCCAAATCTATGATACAACGAAGGAGAGAGCTATATCGTCCTATTTCTGTTCGAAAGATAAAAAAGCACATAACTATATAAAAATGGTTTGATTACGATTAGAAAATGTTGATTTTTCGTATGCTTTTGGAAGAGAAACGAACAACCGAGCATTAGAAATGGTAAAAAATGCAAATCTGATTAAACGAATGCGCGAATAGATTTTGTTAGCAATAATGTTGAATATAGCAGTGGTGTATGTCTTATTCGTTATTGTTACTTCTTTTTTTTCTAGCGATTAAAGTATGTATTCGCTCGGCAGCAGAAATATATATATAAGATCAATCTATGTAGTTAAAAGTTTATTTTGCGCCTGAACAGCCACACTTGGTTCGGTGTATGGTACAACACAGTTTATGGAATGCCAGAAGTGCGCTCATCTATTCAACTAATAAATTATGTTCTATATGTGAGTGGCGTTCAATTTCAACAACATACAAACACATCGAGATACACACACTCGTGTGTTCGATATGATGTGCAGTGTATGCAATGTGTACCCTTATTGCAATAAACAAGTCCAACATATTCGTGCCACATTTAAAATGTTACAAACGGCAAAAATGTATCGTCGATTTCTATTTTCTTCTTCGGCTGTACATTTTGCGCTTGTCTAAATATAAACTTTTTCCCTAATGGTGAAAAAAAGAAATATGCAGGAGGGAAAAAGAAAAACAAACTAGCGGCAGACAAAGGAATGTTACAAAATTGAATCGAAGAAGTAAGAACGATCAAGTGATTTTCGAAATATTTTGAAATATTGAATGGCAGTAACATATTGACGGTACATGAAATATTAAAATATTATGCCTGCATCTATTGATCAACTGTCAATTCATGTACATTTTACACGAGTTGAATACGCACTCACTTTGTGCAAATAACAAACACATTTGGCCAAATGATAGTCGAGGTGTGAGCGTTCACTGTCTGTATTTGTCACCAACACCATGATTCAATTTTTTTTTGCTTTGTTTTCGTAATGATCTTCTTTTATACACATAAGCGACACAGTCTAGTGATTTGGACTTTTGATCCGTTTGCATGCGTCTATGTGTGAGTGCGGGTATTCAATACTGCTGGAGAGAGCACAATACCCTGCAATCATATCGTATCGAACGTTTCGCTGTTATCACGCACACTGAGCGAATAGCTATTCCGTCATTGTCTTCGTCGTTTGTTGTTGTCGTTATTCCGATGCTTTTTAGTGTGGTATTTTCCAACTGCGTCGTTACTACAATATATATATATATAACAAGATGCAAAATGAACATTACCAGCCGCTGTGGTCGTTACTTTAAGAATATTCTGTGTGCTGTGTGGTGCGCAGTGTGTAGCGTATGGTTTGTCTCTGTATATAGTATACGCTGGCGTTGAGCGTTTGAGTGCGCGACGAAAATGACGATGGATGCCAAACCAAATAGGACTCGGGTAGTCAGTGAACAATTGTGCATGTGTGTTTGAAACAATTGCCAATAAAATATACATTAACGTATCGCGCATATTTGCGGTGCACGACAACAGCACACACCGGCACCCGTTCTCTTGATCGACAAAATGTATGTAGCGAACATTAAACTTTGCTCATTTTATTGTTAGCTGTAACTTGATAAAGTCATACATTTTTATTTATTCTTGTATTCGCTGGACATTTTTTATTTCGTTTCTGTTTGTCTTCATTACAATTCTTCGACGAAAAATTCGTTTGATTCGTTGTAAATATATTTTCTTTTTATTTCTAATAAAATAAATGGATAAACCTGCAAATTGAAGTTCCATTAACACTCCACCACAGTACGTTCGGTTGCATTTCACACTAGCCATAAATTAAATTTTTTTTATCGAGAAAGACATTTTCAATAATATTCAATGGAATCTTTGTGCCATTTCGTTTCAAATAGCACTGTGCTATACCATTTTCACCGGTATACTCATTTGATGATAAGAAGCGGCTATAAAAACAAAGACAACCGGAGAGAACACATTTTTTTTCTTCAAATTGTGAGAGTGTATGAGTGTGGTGGTGGTTTGTGTATCGTTTGTATGGAAATGGAAGCTATCAACATCAAATGGAGTGTGCCAATGATGTATATCGATTGCGAAATCCATAAAAATTCCATCAAAGTAAGTATTTTCGCTAAATCAAAGGAATTGGTAAGCTTTTTCATGAATTTTTTGTTGTTATTGTTGAAATTATGGTCGGTGGGTTTATTGACTTAAAAAGGCGTGGAGAAAGGTGGTTTTTTTGGCTACAGTATGAATATTAAGACAGTTTCAAAAAAATGCATGTCACGCAAAGATTCTCGATGTGAACAAGTCATTCATGTTCAATTCCATTTGTTCAAAGCCGTTCATAGTACACAAAAATGATGAATGGACTTCTTGAACTTGGTCTGTACACAAGCAGAGCAACAATGATCTCGACCAAAAAAGAAGAAGAAGATCGATTAACAAGAATTATCTCGAACGCAACGATTCATGAGAACAATACGAAATACGAATGACCAAATCTGTATGATAAACTGTGTTTCATTAAACACAAGCTTGTATACGCGCGCTCACGCTCACGTCTCAACGAGTTTTTTTTATTCAAAAGTGCAAAAAGTGTATATATAGTTTTATCGGACAAAAATTGCGAATTATGTATAACGTATTGCGAATCGAAGACACGAAGTCAATTGGAAACGGTCATAGACACAATGAAATGAATTCACAGAGTACCGTGTTTGTATGTGTTTCATTCTTCATTTTGCAATGAAGTGAAATAGTAAACGAAATCAGGCGAAATAAAGACCGAATAAATTGGACTATGCATAGAAAAAGATAGAGCGAGAGACCGAAACAGGAACCGGGTACGCTGCGAGGCATTGCTCTTTGTCAAACAAATGACCTTGGTTAAATGTCGTTTCATTCTATCTCTTTCTCACCTTTCATCTGTTCGCCGAGAAGGTGTATCTACTTCACACGCAAATCTTCATTTGAAATAATGTTGAACATTTTTCTCTCTCTTTGCAATAATGCGCGTCGATTGATTAAAGCAAATAAAAAAAACACACACCGAACAACTAAAATCCGTCTTCATTAATTCACCGTGTGAAAGATAGAGATAGTGTCGAAAACGTTTTCGATCTTTATTTGTATTTTAGTGCCACGTAAGCTAAACATGAATCATTTCGCATTATGAGCGGTTTTTAGTCGACGACGGTTGTCGTACCGCATTCCATTTGTGCTCATTCTGTAATCATTTTTTTCTTTCTTTCGCAAAATTAGTTTCATTCGTTTGTGTGTGTGTCTCTTTTTTCTGCTACTCTCGCGTTCTTTGCCCGTTAAGTATGTGTATATGTATTGCCATATGTATGTAGCTCAGGGCGCATGTCTGCAGTCATCGTAAATCAACTACTTTATTGAATCGAATCGTTTACCGTTCACGATCGAATACCAATGTTTATTTCATTCTTAACTGCGGTGCGCGCATTTTCTTCTTCATTCTACGAACTTAACACGTTTCGCTTCCTTCGCATATTTTTGCCTGAAAATGAAATATACCATAAAAAAAGAACGAAGATGAACATTGCAATGCACAAAATCAATGGCACGAAAAGCATATACACAGAATAGAGAAAGAGATAACAGTCAATGGAATTTGTGCTCATAACAGGGGCGACACACAAGATATGGTCTTTTTTTTCTCTACTATCTAACTACATCGAATGAAGTAACGGCAAAATCGACAACGCATTGACAACAACAACGATCGAACTTTTAAAAGAAAAATCACAACCGAGAGAACATATTACATTCCATTGCTTCTTATTTCTCTGTATTCGTTTTTCAAAGCCTTTGCAATCAAATTTAAATTAAAGAATTACGTAATCAGGCAAAAGAGCATTGATCATTCGAATTAGTTTTGAAATGAGTGAGATCACGCCCCGAAATTTTTTGTAAAACCGATTCAATGACACAGTGTCCGTCTTTTGAATGTCGATTGTCATCGAATTTCCAGTTATGTTTCATATTTAAAGAATAGCTTTACATTTTTCTTCGTTGCTTGCAAACGAAAATTTCTTTTTCTTTTGAAATTGAACAATGTCATTTCTGTCGAATTGTATGGTGATCGGGCACAGTGGTACAACACACACAATTCAATTGATCAAAGCGTAACGAAATTGATAAAAAAGCAATCGGCGTGAATGTGTCGTCGTTGTCGTCATTGAAACAGGAAGGAAAACGCAAATGAATGACCGCGATGATATCAGAATCGCAAATTTTCTGTTTAAGTACCCATATTTGCAAGCACTTTACCGCTTTGTGCACAGCACACATTTTTGTGTTAGGTATTATACTATATAATATGTATATCTATCTGAAAATTATATGATTTTATTTGGTTGGACTTGTTTCAGCTGAAAGTTGAAAATAAACACACGTGTGTGTTTATTCTTCATTTGTTTCACCTATATGTGTATTATATTCACCGTCGTCGTTGTCGTGCATATCTCTCTTTTCATTTTGTCTTGCTCGAATAATCCACATTTCTGTGGGCCGTGGTCGATGTCTGTTGCTATGTTGATTTCTCTCTCTCTATCTCTCTGATTTGGCGTTGTGTGTGATTTATTATGAAAACAGGAAATAAAAACTAATCAAATTATCGAACTTTTGAGAGCATATAAATGAATATCAATGCATAAAATTAATTCCGTTTCATATTTTTAGATGTGGATCGATTCGCTACATTGGACGACCAATGTCGGACGCACTTGAGGAATAGCAACACACATACAGCTGTTTATGTTCAACTCCAATCAGAATAAGGTAAGTTCAATAATATTTGATTTTATATTTCATTCATCCTTGTACTTTTCATCACAATCTGATTTGCAAATCCTTGATCTCATTTAGATGCACACATTTGTGCATGACATTTGTTCACTTGATTCCCACAAAATACAAAATCTTGATAAACCAAGACAACAACAACTGCATTGAAATGCTAACCATCAAAAGCAGCTCTCTCACAAAGGTGGTTGATGATCTAGAGCACGGGTTATTTGTTTAAAAAAATTCCGGTTTGGTCTTGGAATATATATAAAAAAACGAGCCATTGGTAAATAACAATAATTGACTAGTAGCTAACTGTATGTGTATCATTTTCTCTTTGGCTGATATAATCGCTTAACCGTAATTTGACAGTGCACTTTTTTACATTGGCATGTGCTCAAGCCACAATACCAGAACGGCACAATATTAAAGAAAACACAACGCAAAAAGCTATGTTTATTTCGTTTTCCGTTTTGGTTTCTTCAGTTAATTTTGCTTTTTTTTTTTTTGCTTCAAGGATGGTTTTTTCTACAGGCTGGATTTTCAAATATTCAGACAGCAATTCGGCAATTTTATTTTGTTTTAAACCATTCTTCCATCGATCAAGAGAGAGAGAGAGAGAGAGAGAGAGAGAGAGAGAGGGAAACGAAATCCCATCGACAGATGCAGAGCACTTTGCACCTCTTGATTCACCTTAGTATATTGTTGGTTTGCCGTACATTTCGGTTTCACTCAATTTATGATAATAACAGTTAATTATTCTAACAGAATGCTTGTTGTCTAAAATCGAACCATCAACACCGCCAATGCAATCTCACCTTGATTCCAATAAAAAAAAATCGAATGCAATAAATTTTATCATATATCTTTTTTCGTTTTTACAAACGAATTACTCCAAATGGAAAACAATTTGAGCATTGTTGATTTCTGGCCGGTAGTAAAAAAATCGTTTTTCTTCATCATAAATAAATATCACACCTGATTGAAAGTAATTGCGAGAAATTCATCAAATGTTCGACAATTTTACGAGTCAAAATTGAATGGGGTAGAATAAAAACTACTTCTCGAAAAATAGGTATTTTAAAACGAAACCTAAAAAAAATTCAATAAAAAGTGAATCAATTTTTTTTTGTCCAATTGAAGTGAATCAAGAAAATTTTGTTCAATAAAAGTGAACCAAAAAAAAATTTCACTCGGTTTTTTCAGTGCAAAATACACTAAAATGAATTTTTTTTTTAGGTTCACTTTTATTGAACAAATTTTTTTTGGTTCACTTCAATTGGACAAAAAAAAATTGATTCACTTTTCATTGAAAGTTTTTCTTAGTTTCGTGTTTGAACATTTTTCGAGAAGTAGTTTTTATTCTACCCCATTCAATTAATGTATATTATGGTTTCAAGGTTTCAACACTGTCAGCAGAGGCAAAAAGAGAAATTCACCATTCGAAATCGTCTGATTTAAATGTAAAACTTATTGCCAATGCTACTTAAATGAAGAAGATTTTTGTTTACATTCGGAAAATAATTTGGAACACATGATATATCAATGAGAAATTGGCAATAGGAACAATTTAATCTTTGGTCTGAACAGAGATGAAAAAAAAATTATTATTGAAAAAATTCCAAGAATCAACAATAAGTACGAATCCTTTCAATCGGTACATTATACAAAAACAGAAATCAATATATGATTCTAAAGAAAATCGAATTGATTTTGTATTATATCCAAGCTTTATACTTACTTGGCCCTTTCATAGAATTGTTAGCCTTTTTCAGGCCGCACGATTGGCCATTCTTTGTTCCTCGTATAATTGGCCCGAGACAGGTGCAGGTTGAGAGTGACCGAAGAAAGTATATTCTATTTGTTGTTGTTGTTGACGATGATTCGTGAAAATGACGGCATACAAAAGACAATTTTCCAAGATGCAGTTAAATTGCATGTCTGTACGAGTATAAAAGACTGAATTGAAACCGACGCATCGATTCAAATAATATTTGCATTAATTTTTTATGTATTACGATATATTTATTAGTATAATTCCTCTTTACGATTGCACTCTGTCTGATTTCGATGTTGTTTTGTTCGTTATACTTCCGTCTGATTTAAAGTCGTTTCAATAAAAGATGTTACATTGTATGTTTTTGAATAATAAGAGACCAACCAGTGTTTGATCATACATTTCCGTCCTCCGTGTAAAAAATTGGCTGGAGTTGTTTTCGGCCAGTAATTAGATTTTCGATCGAAATGTTTTAAAATCGAAAAAAATGATTGTAAAACAATTACCGCGTTAACGTTAACATTTAACAAACTCAGTCGTCTGACATCTGCCAATATGCCGTTTTTACGATCAACAAAAATACCATTTTAATATGTAAATGCAACCCATAAGTGATTGAATTAAAAGTGCATTTATGCGGGCATTACACGGTATCGATAGTCATCCATTTAGACACACGCATCCAATCGAACCGACAAATTGAAACACACACACACACACAGCTCATCCAATATGAAAATTATCATTGATTCACGAAGACAAAACCATTGAGTATACAGTATAAAAATGGAAAATTGGCTTTATAAATTTACCCAAAAGGAGTATGTTATTCCCACAAGCAATATATATGTGTATGTGCGTTATTTATCGTCCTCAAGTATAATGTCTCCAATTTAGAGGGCTCATCGAGCATTAAGTGCATGTCTTTAGCCGTCAAAATGGTGATTTTTGATTTAATTATGTTTATCGATCGGATCGTGTTGAGTCGGTCGATCAATCGATATTTTTGTGATCGAAATCAGTTAAATTGTTATTATTATCGCGGATTGAAATGAGTCATAAAATCAAACACAGTATTTTAATATGTATAATCCACATTTTATAACGAAATAATCGAAATTCGTTGCCTTCTGTCTTCAAGGCAAATTTTTGCATAAACGGAATTATTATTGATATCGAGTGTGCATACGATTTAAAAGATTGTTAAAAACTCAAATTAACACGAATTATTTGTGGCTAAAATGTGCATGATGCATTAATTCTGGCCACACATAAAATATATGAGCGGCTGTGGAAAGAAAAAAACGATAAATTTTTTTTTATATTATTTTTTCGTCAAAAATATTATGATCGAAATATGCTAGTATTTATTTGTCGCTACGTGGTTGTTGCCGTTGTCGTCATCGTAGATTACCTGATTGATATGTTAAAATTAAGTTAATATGTCGTCAATGCTAAAGTACTACAATCATAAATCATTCATAAGTTTTATGTATTCACACATACACATTTTTACACAAGCGTACACTAATCATATTGATCATTTTGCTCCTTCATCACTTCTCTTGCCGTTTTATCTGTTTGCACCTCCGTTTTGCCCACATATTTTATATCGCTTTCATACAATCACAGTTACTTGTTCCATTGCCCACTCAATCGTTGTTGTCGTCAACCAAGAGGTGGTAGTTTGGGGAGTCAAACAAAAGACGCGCTTTACGAATCTTTCACAAAATCTCTTTGTTAAACAAACACATCGTAACAACAGATGCTGTTGTGTGTTGATGATAATGTCAAGTGAACACACTTATGATACTTGTTTATACCACTTGAGATTGTTACCGATGTTGAGTTTTCGGCTTTCATTAATTTTACCTTTGCATAAATGAAAGTTTATTGATTTCATTAAATAGTTACTATGTGACATGGCATTTGCTGCGATAAAATATATTAAATTATCTCAAACGACATTTTCTCTGTGTATGACAAAGACTGTTGCTAAATGCATGTTGTTAACGAATACATATGAAAAAAAACAAGCTCTTAAAGTGCTGTGGTTGTGTGTCTCTTGAAAAAAATTCAAATATCCCATCAATTTCACTCTCTCGCATATTCGCTCCCTCTCTAGCCGTTGCCGTTGAGTGCAAAAACACTTTTGCACATTATTCATACATACATGAGATATGAATTGTGTGTTTCTGTTGATTGGTAAATCAAAAACTCTTTTATTGCTTGTTAATATTTCATTAAAGCACATTAAAAATGCAATTTATAATTCTCTTGAACATTAAAGTGGCTAGAAAAAGCAATATATTTCACAACAAATATTATATTAAAATGTGGTAAAATGCATATAAGCTGCCATTCGAATTCGAAAATTTTTGATATAAATGACGAGAATCGTTCTATAATGCCCACCAGCTACAATACAAAAAGTTTTGCTGTCTGACTCGAATGTATCTGGCCATGCCATGTTCGTTTGAGTTCAAAAATCTCTCGTTCGCATTCACTTTTGTGTGTGTTTGTATGGTGGTGTGTACATGTATGTTTGGTTATAATGTAAAATCTATTGTCTACGCACCGAAAAAGTGCCTTCGAATCTCTCGACTCTATATTGGGTGAAAATCCGTCGATTCAACGACCCCTTTGTGTAAATTGAAGCAGTTCGTTGTTACTTGCCACTGTCATTCGTTGTCGCGTAGTATTGTTACCATCATCATCATCATCGTCATCACAACCACTGTCAGCAATGGCGAAATCAACAGCGGCATGTATTGAAAGCGATGTAACCTTTTGCTTGGAGTGCGTTGTTCTTTAATAATATCAAAATATAACGCGCGCCAATGTCTGTGGTGTAACTGCAACGCAGAAAAAAACGAGAAGACAAAAATATGTTTATATATATATATCGCGCGCACATATAAACGATGTTGATGCCATCAATAGTGGTGTGATGGTTTATATGTTTTGGCGGTGCAATGTCTACACAGTGCCAGCCAGCAATGAAAAAGAGTGAGAGCGACTCGATTTATAAACAGCTTTAGGCAAAATGCGTATCACTGAACTGAATGTTATTCAAACACGTCGTGTTGAAAATTGCATGGAAATGGAGTGATGCGCTTGGGACATGGATGGTGTTATGCGTGTATTGTATGACACATGAATGGCAGAGAATGGGGGGAGCTTTCAATTTTCGGAAAATGCCGAAAATTCGATTTTA